AACTCACATTTGCAGTTGAAAAGTTCTTAATTCCTATTATTCTTTTAAATGTTTTAATACTCCATTATATCCTTTCTTCTTTGCTGCCTAGAACAACATACTTGTAATACAAACAATTAAATAAGAGACAGCTGGCGTTTAAAATTAATCTAATCTAAATTTAATTCCAGGATGTTCCTGTGCTTTATTGAGAAAGCGGCCACGCAACAGGTTGAAACCCAATGTGCGTCAGATACGCTATGCTTCACAGCAGCGGGATGTTTTTTTTGGCACTCCCATGGCAGATGTCTTGTAGATAACTTGGTAGGACCCTATCTATTGTTACATTGTGAATTCTGCAAGCAAACTTACAAAGGTTCTGCATTTCCTCGTATAACGTACTCGCTGTCAACTATTACAACACTACACCATGAAATGCAGTACATTTGCCACATTTGCTGCCTCAAAAGCAAAACAAGAGAAGCCATTGTAGGAGGCTGGCTTTAGCCCAAAAAGAAACAACGGGCTGGAGATAGAAAGAACCATGTGAACGTTTGCTGCTGGTGACCTCCAACACAAAAAGAGCTAGAAAGGAAGAAATGCTAATTGCTTTGGACTTGCATATCAAGCCATCGCTAAAGAAGAGCCCTTTAGAGGACTGCATGTGCAAGCCAGCTTCCACAGTCCCACTGCTCTCCTCCTTCAATGCTCATAAGCATTAGATGCAAAACAGAACCAGCAATGCTGCAAAATCTTTACAACCGGGTTTCAATGTACAATGTACACCTTGACTTTCAGAGGCTAGGCTCCAGCCCAGTGTTTTAATATTTTTTAATGCCTGAACTGAGCTAGTATGAGACAAAACCATTGGGATGTAAAGAAATACCTACCTGACATTTCTCCAGCTGGCATTGCACTTTGAGCACCACTGTGATAGGACAAGGGGTAAGGGTTTTAAACTAAAAGAGGGTTGATTCAGACTAGATAGAAGGAAGGCATTTTTACAATCAGAGTAGTGAAACATTGGAACAGGTTGCCCAGAGAGGTGGTAGAGGCCCCATCCCTAGAAACAATCAAGGCCAGGTTGGACGGCGCTCTGAGCAACCTGCTCTAGTTGAAGATGATCCTGCTCCTGGCAGGGTGGTTGGACTCGATGACCTTTAAAGATTCCTTTTGACCCAAACCATTCTATGATAAGCATGAAGACCTCTACCTTGTGCGCAGAAACGGCCTGAGGCAAAACTCACTTTGATGCTCAGCCTTACACTAAAAAGCTCACTTTCTGCTCAGAAAGTATTTCACAGCTGAAAGTGCAGTAATTCAAATAAGAACAAAAAGCCACAGGCTGTGCCAGTATCTGAAGAGGAGACCTGGATGTAAACATACCAGGACTGTGGGAACTGCAACAAGCTTCTGATGAGTACTCACCTTCCTGTAAAAACCTGTTAAGAAGCCACAAAGGTTTTTATGATGGTGGTTTCTTTTAGCCATGATGTAGTTGTAATATTCACACTGTGTCCATGAGAAACTCCCTAAGAATCTGTAAATAGAGTTGTAACCCGGTAACAACTCTTGTAATTATACCATAACCGCTTAAATTATCCCAAAGGGTTTTATTTGGTTTTAATAAACCAATCTTATTAAGTAGCTTTTTTTAAGAAGAAAATTCTTTCAGAGTTTTGTTTAAGTAATGCCCCCTTCTTCTCCCTTCCCTTCCTACTCCCTCAAAGAAATCGGTACAGGACTTCAATATCTCTTCAAAGAAGGTAATAAAAACCAATGCAACTATACAAGCTTCCACTTCACAGAATCTCGTGTCCAACTCTGGGTCTATGACGAGATTCATGGAAACCAAAAGAAACAAGGCCACAATTAGTGCAAAGTTCATTCAAAAACTTCCTCATTTCCAAGATAAGCAATTACAAGTCTGATGATCATAGTTTGCCTTTGTGGAAATGGCTCAGGCAACTTAGTAAAAAAAAAATACTGCAGAGCACTAGCAGAACAGATGCAACACTGACTCTTTATGCAGGAAGGAACTTTCTACAGACAGGAATTCACTTCCATAGGGAGGAATAAATTACAAGGAAGAGCACTGTTGCCTGGATTCACCAAGCAAGCACTTATCTGATGTGCCAAAATGAGGAGAAAAAGAAGTGACCTGAATCTGAGGTAACACCCAACTCCTTACCTGGGAGGTAGCAGTGAGTTAAGGAGAAAGCTCTTATCTCAGTATCTGCAGTAGAGCTGGAAGACCACATGCTTAGGTCTGTGGTTAGTGACTCACCTGCAATTATGGTGAAACCTGAGATCCCTACATAAAGGTAAGTCTTTGGACTTTGTGGTTGTAAAGCAGCATCTACCTGACATCTGCTAACAGCTCAGAACAATTGCGCTGAGAGATGAACAGTCCCAAGCATCTCAACAGCGTGCAACTCCACAGCTATGCTAGGGGATGTTCCCAGCACCTTGTTGCATAGATACTGCGAACGGGTGGCTCCTGGAAGATGGCAGAAATCAGGGCTCAATTCTCTTCTGCTAAGGAGAAACCAATTAAAACCACAATACAATACAATACAATACAATACAATACAATACAATACAAAATACAATACAATTCAATAAAATTCAGTCCCTCAAACCTTTTTTTCACCTCCAGGAAATGTCATGTGAATTTTGTGGCTTATACTTCAAGCCTTCCAAGGAGAGAGACCCCCAAAACCACACTATTCTTTTACCCTGAGAGATGCTCTAACCTACTGGCACGCGGATGTGTTCCATGCAAAAGCACTGCAAAATGCAACTGGACACTAGCAACCAAGTCACCTCACTTCCAAAGCAATTTCTTTCCTTTTCTCAACATATTCTACTAGCTGAAATTTTGTCCTCAGTATTTGTATTGGGTAAGACCCACAAAACCACCTCCTGTAGGGGTGTCCTGGTGGCCAGCAGGATGACCATGAGCCAGCACTGTGCCCTTGTGGCCAAGAAGGCCAATGGCATCCTGGGGTGTATCAGGAGGGGTGGTTGTAGATCAGAGAGGTTCTCCTCCCCTCTACTCTGCCCTGGTGAGACCACATCTGGAATATTGTGTCCAGTTCTGGGCCCCTGAGTTCAAGAAGGACAGGAACTGCTGGAGAGATTCCAGCACAGGGCTACAAAGATGATGGAGGGAGTGGAGCATCTCCCTTATGCGGAAAGGCTGAGGGAGCTGGGTCTCTTTAGTTTGCAGAAGAGGAGACTGAGGGGAGACCTCATTCATGTTTATAAATATTTCAAGGGTGAGTGTCACGAGGATGGAGCCAGGCTCTTCTCGGTGACAAACAATGATAAGACAAGGGGTAATGGACACAAACTGGAACACAGGAGGTTCCACTTCAATTTGAGAAGAAACTTCTTCTCAGTGAGGGTGACAGAGCCCTGGACCAGGCTGCCCAGAGAGGTTGTGGAGTCTCCTTCTCTGCAGACATTCAAAACCCGCCTGGACGCCTTCCTGTGTAACCTCATCTGGGTGTTCCTGCTCTGGCAGGGGGATTGGACTGGATGAGCTTTTGAGGTCCCTTCCAATCCCTAACGGTCTGGGATTCTGTGATTCTGTATATTTCTTTCAAACAACACCTTGCCTCTGCTGTTGCTTGTGCAATTTGGAGCAGTTTTCATCACAGTTTCAGCTTGATGATGAACAAGGAGTCTATAAAGTAACCTCTCTCAGGGTAGAGACTCCCTCCAAATTCTAAACAGCCAAAGAATTTTGATAAATAATCAAAACAAAATCCAGCAGCTCAAATTCTGAGGTTTGCTTACTGTCAGCCTCAAGATTACATGCAAGAAGGATTAAAAAGCCACCTAATTTGAGGTGAGAGACAGGCTATCAATCTAGTTAAAAAAAAAATACAATGCACCTCAATCCAGCATTTTGCTGTTGGTATGTATGTGCCATCCAAATAAGAAGCATTAAACACTGAAGAACACTTGCCAAAAATCAAGTGCTTTCTCCTTGCTCTCTCAGCTGCGGATCTTAGGAGGTGAGCTGCAACTGCAAGTACAGTAAGGTTTCCAAATCACCAGCAACTCTGAGCTGGTCCTAAGTGTAAAACAAAACCAAAACAGAGCCTGACACTCTATTCATGAAAGATAAGCAGTCAATGGGTCTGCATACCTGGGAGACGGGCAGCATACTGATCTGAAGTTACAATAGCAGTACTCTGCAAGATGATCAGCACCTTCTGTGACACGTCCATACTTCCAGCAAGGTCTTCAGAACCCCCATACATGCAACACTGAAGCAGAGATAATTTGCTTAAGCCCCAAAAGCCCTCTTGCCTACTTCTGAACTGGCAGAGACAGGAATGAAAACAGACATGCAACAAGATATGCCTTCCAGGGCCCCATTTATTAAATGAATACAAAAATAAGATCATTTAAGTGCAGAGGCACAGTAATCCACTCCACGGTGAAAAGATATTCTGTGTTAGCAGTAAACAGAGTTTACAATGCCTTGTAAACAGACCTCTTTACAAGCAAGAAGCATACTGAAACAGTACACACTTTGGATTAAAATGTTCCTGTTGCAGCAATACTCCACGCTTCTCATCGGGCAATTTCAGAGCACTTCACAAAAGGTGAGAGCATCCTTTGCTCTGTTTTCAGAGAAACACACATGAAACAAATGAACACAAGGAACTTGCACTGTAAACAGCTGAAAAAGCGCCAGAGCATTTTTCGAGGATGACGGCTTACCCGTTGTTAGGTTTGTTTTGCCATGAGAAATAATGGCCAAAGCTATTGTGCATTATGGAAGATTTAAAAGTGACTACTGTTTTTATTTTTACAGCAACTTGTTGCATGGTTGAATAATTTTTTTTTCCTAATACAGTACATGGCATTTCTCCTCAATTGCACCAGAAGTAAATTTGGAAGCACTTTCAGTTTGTGTTATAGGCAAACACGAAAGAAAAACAAGTCAGGCAGGCTTTCAATCTCCTTTCTATCTCTCTGCCTGCTATTTTATCCCCACCCTTTCACATCTCGGAGTCCACATACATTCCATTGATCAGGTAATCCACTTGTGTGTAATCCTTCTTCTTGTAGCTCTCATAGGCTTGCATAAGGAAAAGAACTATAACAGTTATGAAAAAAAATGTACCAACTAAAAGCACTGCAAGCAGCAAACTTTTATCCACCAAGTACTGAGTCAGGGGCTCAGCAGCAATGAGAAGATACTCATTGTCTGTGTTCTGAGTTTCTGCGAGACCCAAAGTTGTTGTTCTGGGCGCATCTGCTGGAGCCGTGGTTGTTGCCATGTGAAATGTCGACTTTATCCCATGCCCCGTTGTAGTTTCTGCTGTAGAAGCAGTAGTTAAAACCATGGCACCTCTTGTAGAGCCCAGAAGAGAAGTTGATTCACTCAAGGATGTTGTGGCTGTACTTGCTTCTGGCTCTAGATGTAGCAATGTAACAACAGGCCGTGGATTTGCAGAGTGTGAACTCTCCAAGGGGGTAATTGCCATGGCACTAGAGGAAGCAGTGGAAGATGTTCCTGCATCCTGCGGGAGGAGGACAGTCACTGTTGTGCTCAGTGTCTTCAGGCCAGCCCCGACAGTGACAGGTCTACTAGAGTGGGGCGTGCTGGTGGTGGCTGGGTTAAAATGCTCTATTTGAGGCATTTGAGTACCTGCTACAGAAATGGCAGTGAGGGGAGCAGAAGCTGGAGGCAACACTGAGACAGAGCTACTATTTCCTGATTTTTCAGTGGTGGTCACAAGCTTGGCAACATGGCTGGAAGTAGAAGTAGGGATGTTACCAGAAGTGGGAGAAGAGGCAGTGGGTGACATGGCTTCAGCAAAGAGACCAAAGCCTCCAGGGGTTTTTGAGGCTTCGGTAGTTGTTTTGTAAGCTGTAGTGAGGACAGTTGCATTTGTAATGTTTGTTGTTACGGCTGTAGCAGTGGTAGTGGTCACTGGGGTGGTGGTAGCATTGCTTGTAATTGTTTCTGTTGCATTTGTTGTCGAGGAAAACAAGTTTTCCACATTGTGTTGGTCAACCCACGCATTCACCATTCTCTCCTTTTTCTGTGGATAGCTTTGGTGGTGAAACATGACTGTTTCCCTTTTCTCACCAACAATTTCTTCAAAAAAACAAAACCAATGAGTTTCATAAGAATAAAACTTTCAAGCTCAAATCTGACCTCATACCCACAACATGCAAACCCCAACATGTATTCCGCAGTACACGTAGTACCATTGAAATAAATCAGTCCTGAAGTCAGCAAGAACATGAAAACTCAGACCCTTGCCTTCATTGCACATAATCCCTTTGGGGTTTTTCTTGGTTTTGGTGTTGGATTTGGTTGTTTGTTTGTTGGGTATTTTTGCCACAGAACTCTGGCAACTAGGAAATTAATTCCAGAAAAGGGGGGTAATGAAGTACAAAGCTACAATGTAGAAGCACATCAGCAGCAGGAGCAGCGCTATGGATGTCAGCTCTTGAGAAGGCTCATGCTTTCAAAGTTACACAGCAGCAACAAAGCCTTCATGCTTAGATTCATAATTTTCACTTCTCAAAACTGAGTGGAAATTTCCACTTACACCTTCATACTTCAGGAGAATTTACTTCAGTGATCTAGATTTATAGTGACATAAATCCCATCTGCTTATCTGGTTGTCATGTTGCAGAGAAACCTTTACTGACTCAGAAGAACCATGATCAAACTTTATTTCTTTTTTTCAAACTTGGTCACAGTGAACTCTTGAAGCACACTTTAAAAGACTGATTCTCCGATTACCAACAAGCTCCTTTTACTTATTGTGTCACTTTATTAAAATTGAAGACCCTGGCACTGGAAAGTCACCATGAGCAATCACTGCTAAGGCTGCTCTGATTACAGAAGCTGCCTGCTTTGTCTGGCACAAAATCCTGGCAATCAGAAAAAACAATGCCAAGACATTTTCCTTTCCCTTAAAAAATATAAATACATTTTTATTTTCCAAGGGACAGCGTGTGGAGTGCAAATGGCTTGAATGAATGATGTCTTCAATGGAGACAAACTGTTACTCAGTAAGTTACAGAAGTTATTCAAAGACACGATTCACATGAAAGTGCCAAAGCCCATGCTATCTAGTGGAACAGTTTTTCCAGTGAACCTACTTTACTTACAGAATCATCCACAGGCATTTCATAACCCATCTCCCTCAGCTAAAAGCCAGTCAAGGTCTAAACAGAGGCAGTTAAAGCTAAAGGACCAGGAGCCTGGACTTAGCAGGAGCCTGAAGCATGGTGTTACCTCCAAGCAGATCTTTGATGTCTTGTTCTCTGGCGTTCTGGCACACACTCAGCTGGTGACACTGCAAGAAAATGCAGTGATTCTGGTAGGGCACAGACCAATTACAGTGATGGTTACCTGAAAGCAGCAGAGAAAATGGGTCGCTACACACAGTCTACTGAACACACTGCCTTATGACCGCAATGAAAGAATGAAAACTAAACAAACCACAACAAACTGAAAACCAATAGCTGGAAATCTGGCCTGAAAGGATCCTGACTCAGCCTTAGTGAAAATAACTAAAAAGCCCATGAAATCAATATAGCAGTTTCAGTCTACCTACTTGTTTGTCTTCTGGTAGCAACATCTAACAACAGCAATTCAGTCACCCAGATCAGGACAAAGAGAGCACACTATAGCTTGGACCCATCTAAATGCTAGCATTCATCTAGATGTCTTACTGAAGAGGAAAAAAAAAGTGAGCCAAAACTGAGAAGACACTCATCTCATCTCCCACGGATGGCAGCTCTCATCTCAGTTCTTTAAGTTACACAGAAATTCCCTCTTTATTTGCTGAGCAGTGATACCATTAGCCATGGGAGCCATCACAGAAATTGTCTTTTAGTAAGTTAAACCACAACACAAGCTACATAAACTCATCACAGCAGGAACTCTCTCCTGGCATCCCTTCAAATTCACTCACTTCTTTCTGGGTATGTCTGCATACACATAACCAAGCTTTAAGGGAAGGATGCTGAGGAGGCATCTCAAACACTGCACCCAGTTTTGGACTCCCCAGCATACAAAAGCAGCATTGACACAGTGGAGTGAGTCCAAGGGAGACTACTAGAAGTCTGAGGGGCTGAAGCAGACGATTTCCAGGAAATCCCAACTCAACATCAGGGGAAAAAATTAGTTTCCACCATAAGGGCACTCAAACACTCTGCTGGGGGCCAGAGAGGTGGCACACTCTGTCAGGTCTTGAACAGCCAGATCTAAACTGGGTTCAGATCAAAGACCTTCAAAGGGTCCCTTCACACCTAAATTATGCTATGTAACACCACAGTAGCATGCAGTTAATTTCTGGGACAATTTCTGCCACAAAAAACCCACACTGCTCAGTCTGGGATGAAGCAGATGTGTGCCCAACTGATCACCCATCAGTAGACTAAAGAGAACTTAAGTGTATGGTAGAAGAAATTAGTTTCTGTGTTTTGTTAGAAGTGTAAGAAAGGCCAAAGGACATGTCTATGTGGTATATACGGCTACATTTAAAGCTCTTATCTACAAAGAGTTACCCTCTCTGAGGATTAAGGCTATGGGAAACTTGAACTTTTAATAAAAAAAAAAAACAACATTACCACAGGGCTTGGTAAAAGAGCTTGTGGAATATTTAAGAACTTGGAGAAATCCCTGTGCCAGCCCAAAAGAAACTAGCAAAGGTGGAATTTTACTGACTTTGATAACATGTTAAGAAAGTGACTGAAACCATTCAAAGCCTTCAAAAATGATACTTAAAAAGCAATAAAATGAAAAGCTTCAACAGCCACACAGAGCAGGAGTTACAGCAGCAGCCCTTCAAGAAATTAAGTTCCGCTCCTCAGAAATGAAAGCATGTTTAGATGTGCCCTAATTCCCAAACCCACCCCATCCCCCACTTGATAAGCTGTGCTAGTGAAGAAACACAGACCATCTACTACTGTAAATAGTAGAAGAATAGTTCCCTTCCCATCTTGGGAAGGGCTATGTATCTAAGTCGGTCAGTTAAAAAACACTCAGTTTAATAGTGTCAGCATAGCTAAAGCACCCTGGTTTCTGCTGTCATCAGGACAGTATCCAGCAGCTCATGACTCTCCTGTTGCTCCCCAGGACAACCAGATACCTCTGCTGAGCTGGACTGATTAGTACTCCCTTTGATGCAACTCCAGATTGCAGTTCCAGTTGATGTGTCCACAGCAAGACACACGCCACCCAGTGGCTCCTTTCAGCTCACTTTCAAGTAGGAGACAAAAGCTCTTCAGAGCTATTTTGAAAGGAAATTATGTAGGCAGACACCAAGACCTTGCCCTACCAATCTGGTTTATTTAATTTTTAAGCCTGCTGTTACCAGAAAGAAATCACAGATGCCAAAAGGCAAGCAGAAGCCAGGTAAGCAGAAGTATTGTGGAAGTGGGGAGCTGGGATATTTGCTCTTGCAGCCATGTCATATTTTCCCTTTATTTTCCCCAGAGCATGTAAAATAGCCCAGAAGTATGGCCAAGTGGCTCTGTTTTCAGAGGCACTTGAGAGTGTCTGGCAACCTGAAAGGAGATTGTAGAGAGGTGAGTGTGGGTCTCTTGTCACAAGTTAAAACTGATAGGACAAGAGGAAATGGCATCAAGTTATGCCAGGGGAGATTTAGGTTAGACATGAGGAAAAACTTCTACACTGTAAGGGTTATCAAAGACTGGAACAGGCTGCCCAGGGAAGTGGTGGAATCACCATCCTTGGGTGTATTTAAAAGACGTTTAAATATGGTGCTCAGGGACGTGGTTTAGAAGTGGGCATTGAAGAGATAGTTAACGGTTGGACTAGATGATCTTAAAGGTCTTTTCCAACCATAATGATTCTATGATTCAAAGCCAGACTACTCAGATGGCCAAGATGTTCCCCTCCAGCCTTGGACTGTTGACCATAGAAGAAAACTGGGAATGCTCCAAATACAGCTGGAGATGCAAAGGGAAAAGCACGAGCTTGTTTTACCTCCAATACAGGCTCACCATGCTCACCAGACATCTGGGAATCCTGGATTGCCAGATCTTTACTAAAATGAGCACTTTCTCCATCATGTACATCACTTACTCTAGCAGCATCTGGAGACTTGAACCAAAAGGTTAGAGTTACTATCCGTGCTATCAGCCCTAGAGTATTTTGCTGCTTTTATTAGCATGTAGTTGAAGTGTCAGACTGTCTCACGATATCGGTGTCATCATTTTGTGACATGTTAGTTTGCTAGCTATGTATCCTGGCCTGGTGTGGATATCTGAAGGCAGTGCTGGAATAGCTAGACCAGCAACCATTCCCCTTTCTGCAGAGCACATCTGAGATATGAACGACTGGCAAAAGCAGTTCGTCTTGTGATGGTTGCACTCTTCCTTCTGAGTTAGTGATGCTATCTCAGCAAGGGTACAAATTGCATCTACAGAAGAAAGCCTAACCAGCTAGGAATGTTGGTTTTCCACTTTTCCAAGCAATATAGCTATGAAGATATCTCCCCATGCAACCTTGGCCTGCAACTTAACACTACAGTATCTTAAAAAAATAACAACCACTGCTCCTTTACTGACAGTTCCATAGCTGTAACTATGCTAACATCGTAGACTCAGGCCTCATTGTCTGTAATGAAATAAAGCAGAAAAATAAATATACTTGGGGAAGGTGGGAATGGAGAATGAAAACAGTAAAGCTCATCTTAAAACCTAAAGCTAGTCATAAAAAAAAGACATTCCAGGTCCTTCTCTTCAGATGATCTCTCTGCACATGGCTATATATTTATGTCAAGGGCGTCTCTTCCATCTCCCTTGACACCAGGTGGTGCAACAGCCTGGCCGTAAAGTAACAAACAGGAATTAAATTGCTTCAGTGGGTTTAATACAGAATGTAAAACCTGACAAGGTTTATGCTTTTGGGTTTAGTTTTGCATGGTTTACTGCAGATGAAACAGGTCACCTAATTCTAGAGGCTCAATGCCCTTTACTCAACAAAGCTAACATTCAACAGGACTTGCTCTGTACAAAACACATCAGGAGAAAACAAGGCGAAGGTTAAAAAAAAAAAAGGTGTTTGAAGTCAGCAACAGCACAAAGCATGCACTCAGATCATCTCCCAGCCGTGATCACAGACTAAATTCCTTATGTCCCTCCTCTGGAAGAGGCAGCTGATAGCAACTTTTCTACACTTGTCAAGGTATCAGGAGGTTAAGATGACATGTGCATGGTGTTTAGAGATACTCAGGTGGAAAAGACAAACATGCAGCACTACAGACCATAAGTGTCAGCACAGTCAGTGTGAATGTGTCATCTCTCTAGGGTTTACCACCTTAAAAAGCAGAAGCTGAAGTTTTCACAACTCTGGCGCCTGGGAGACTAACCCACTCATATTTCACTTCCTGAATAAAACACTTAGTTTAGAAATGTGCTTTCTTTTCACTACAAAGGGATGTCTCATGTTTTAAATAAAGGTTTGAATTCACTGGGCATTAAAAAGGGCATCTTTATGATGTTCCTATTAACTTGATTGTCATTCATTCACCTGACCCCATCTTTACCACAGCACCACCAGTTGTTTGAAGGTGCTACAAGATTTCACGTGTGGCTAGATGAGACAGGGTCCTTCATAAGGACAAGTCTGAAAGACTCATTTAGAAGTTTAATGCTTTTAAAGACATCTCAGAGGTAGGCAGCAGAGGGCTCTCATCTCCCCAGACTTGTTTAACCCTTTGCTTGGCTGCAGGATACAACTCATTTCTTCTAAGGCAGAAAAGACACATAAACACCAGTGAGCAAAGACAACTCATTCCAGTGCAGCTGTCTACAACAGCACTGTTCACTTACAAACACATGGCAGCATGGCATAATCATTCTTCAGGTGACGTGACCTAACATGTTTGCATGCTACCAGTGTGCACCAAGTGCACATGCATGCTGTTTCTTATAGAAGATAGAAGGGCCCTGGGAAATGGTTGCTCTGGATTCAATTTAACTAAAGCTGTCAGAAGTTATTTAGCATCACAGGACTGCACAAAGAAGCTGTAACAGTAAATGCCTGAAAACAACTGGAAAGAAGAAGAAGTTTTCAGGGGATAAGAGGAGATGTTTAAGGAATTCCAGCTAAGGGACAAGAACCTCACCTGAAGCACCTGGGCTTTGACAAGCCTGCCTGCACTGCTTTTCAGTTGTAAGGCTGTTTATTCGCACTACATGAACTCCTCTCCCTTTCAGGACAGAAAACCTATGTTCACATATACAGAAGGAAATCAGCAGG